ATTAATTGAAATAATTGAAATAATTGAAATAATTGAAATAATTGAAATGGGGCCGATTTCAATTATTTCAATGATTTCAATTGTTTAGGTCACCTAAATAATTGAAATAATTGAAATAATTGAAACAGGGCCGATTTCAATTATTTCAATTATTTCAATTATTTCAATTATTTGAAATCGTGTGGTTCATCCGCTGACCTAGTAAACCTATTGATTTCAATTATTTCAATTATTTGGGTGACCCAAATAATCGAAATAATTGAAATAATTGAAATCCTAATGGTCCGTGTGGCCTTTCCACAGAACCATAGGATTTCAATTAATTGAAATAATTGAAATAATTGAAATAATTGAAATGGGGCCGATTTCAATTATTTCAATTATTTCAATTGTTTGGGTCACCTAAATAATTGAAATAATTGAAATGATTGAAATAGGGCCGATTTCAATTATTTCAATTATTTCAATTATTTCAATTAATTGAAATCGTGTGGTTCATCCGTTGACCTAGTAAACCTATTGAGTTCAATTATTTCAATTATTTCAATTATTTGGGTGACACAAATAATCGAAATAATTGAAATAATTGAAATCCTAATGGTCCGTGTGGCCTTTCCACAGAACCATAGGATTTCAATTAATTGAAATAATTGAAATAATTGAAATAATTGAAATAATTGAAATAATTGAAATAATTGAAATGGGGCCGATTTCAATTATTTCAATTATTTCAATTGTTTGGGTCACCTAAATAATTGAAATAATTGAAATAATTGAAATAGGGCCGATTTCAATTATTTCAATTAATTGAAATCGTGTGGTTCATCCGTTGACCTAGTAAACCTATTGATTTCAATTATTTCAATTATTTCAATTATTTGGGTGACCCGAATAATCGAAATAATTGAAATAATTGAAATCCTAATGGTCCGTGTGACCCTTCCACAGAACCATAGGATTTCAATTAATTGAAATAATTGAAATAATTGAAATAATTAAAATAATTGAAATGGGACCGATTTCAATTATTTCAATTATTTCGAGTGTTTGGGTCACCTAAATAATTGAAATAATTGAAATCAGCACCGTATATTTGAATTATTTCAATTATTTCAATTATTTCAATTATTTACAATATATATAAATAAATAAAGAAAACATAGTAGCTAAATAGACCCAAGAGGTAGCACTCTCATATATATATATGTGTGCCCGATACCTTTAGGTCTATATAACCGCGGTTTGTTGTCTTCAGCACATAATGGAAAGCAAAATATAGGGTATAATACAAAGCCACGACCTGACAAGTTTCGGATCGACTAGGTTATATTTTTCTATCAAGTAATTATAGCGAATTATTCGCATTCAAGGAGACGAGTATTATATAAACAGAACATCGAGTGTTGATCCCAACGCTGTCGATGAATAAACATTCGTTGTGATGACACATTTCAGTGTATAGAGTCCATACATCTTCCAGGAATGATGTATCGTCGTGGAGATATGCATAGCACTGTCAGCAGTATATCGGCAACACGGAAAAATTGTCCTGTCCCAATATTTCACAATTCGACTTACTGTTGACTTGCCAGCGTTTGAGTAATTGCATACGACATATCCACCCAAGAATCACGTAATAAGCATGCACGCTGTAATATGGCATAAATTTGTTTGTAATTTCCGCACAGGCCAGAATGCAAAACCTGACAGGTTCGGTACTCATGAATCGGATGTGTTCATATGACAAATTATGGGAATACATACGGCATGACACATCCATATCACATGATGCTGTCGCAACACTTACTACAACTCGTTGCCTGTTATATTCTGTTGTTACATATGCTACATATATCTACTGAGGCAAGCCAGGTCTGAACAAACTAGTTCCTTGTCAATAGGGTTTCAATATGAGGAGTGCATGTAATGTATTGGTTCGCCCTGTCCAGGAAGTGAAGAGAAACATTATAGCCCCTGCAATGTGCCAGTTTCTTCTGTCCGTAAGAAGGGCTTTCCGATGTATCAGCTTCATATCAAGAGGGCTTCAGTAGGATGAGTGGGCGTGACAGGTCAAAGGCTTGTAATGTGTTCGTTTGTTCTGTCTGGGGGCTTTCGAATGTATAAGTTCCTCGCCAAAAGAGTTTCGATAGGCGGGAGTGGAGTGACACATTAGAGAGTCTATATTGTGTCAGTTTGTTCTGCCCAGGGGCCTTCCAATATACAGGGTCGCTTCAGTGTATAAGTTCCTTGTCAATAGGTTTCCATGGGGAATGGAGTAACACATTAGAGGGTCTGTAATGTGTCAGGTCGCTGTGTCCAGGAGCCTTCCAAAGTAGGATTTTCCTTGTCAATATACTTTCAATAGAAGGGATGAAGTGACACATTAGAGGGCTTGTAATGTGTTAATTCGTTATGCCCAAGTCAATAGAGTTTGAACAGGGGAAGTGGAGTAACACTTTACGGGGCATGTAATGTGCCAACCTGTTATGTCCTGGACTTTCCAGTGTATAAGTTCCTTGTCAGTAGAGGGTCAATCGGAGTGGGTGGAGTGACACATTAGGGTGCCTGTAATATGTCAATTTGATATGCCCAGGTACAGGGGCCTGACAGTGTATAAGTTCCTTGTTAGTAGGGTTTCAGTAGGAGAAATGGAGTGACACATTAGAGGGCATGTAATATGTCAATTTGCGCAGTCCAGGACCCAGGAAGTGAAGATACACATTATAGTGGGTTTAATGTGCCAGTTTGTTATGTCCATAAAAACTGCTTTCCGATGTATCAATTTCTTATCAGTAGGGTTTCAATAGGATAGGTGGAGCGACACATTATAGGGCCTGCAGTGTGTCACTTTATTATGTCCAGGGGTTTTCTAGTGGAAAGTTCCATTGCAATAGAGGTTCCATAGGAAGGAGTGGAGTGACACATTAGAGGGCGTGTAATGCGTCAATTTATACTACCCAGAGACCTTCCAATATACAGATGCCCTACAGTGTATAAGTTCCTTGCCTTTAGGGTTTCAATAGGAATAATGACACATTAGAAGGCCTGTAATGTGTCAGTTTGTTCTCCCATGTGCCTTCCAATGTATCTCTATACATATCAGATCTGATGTGATCACAACATTAGCCAAGAAGGATATCACGTAGTTAATAGTCTTCACGATCTTAACAAAGGAGCAATTATCCGTATCGAAGGTATACATTCCCATGAAAAAAATCCCTATAGATCCCTTCACAGATCCCTTGTATGGAGCCCTCATAGACAGCCTTTATAGATTCGTATAGAAACTTTATAGATCCCCTATATAGAGAACTTATAGAAACCCCGTATAGATCAACAAATGGAGTTCTTTGTAGAAAACTTTACAAGATCCCTTACATGGAGCTTTCATAGACAACTGCTATATATTCCTTACCCTTTGTAGAAACCACATGGAAGCCCTGTATAGATCCCTCGTATGGAGCCCTTCTGGAAAACCCTTACAGATTGCTTATAGAAATCTTATAGATCCTCTATGTAGAGACCTTATAGAAACCCATTATATAAAAAACTATAGATCCCTTACAGAGAGACTTTCTAGAAACACATTATTGATCCCTCATATGGGGCCTTTATAGTAAGCCCGGTTACAAAGTATGTAGATGCGATGTGGTAAGCTATTCTTGATATAGTAGTTAAGATAAATCGATTGTATTATGGTTCGTACAATACCTATGAAATTACCTTTAAGAATAGAGGGAGCGGTATTAAAACCAATGAAACCGGCAACGAAGATGATGACGATGATGAAGATGATGAAGATGATGGAGATGATGAAGATGATGAAGATGAGGGGAGGGGGGGGAGGACCTAACCAAGGAACGGGGGCGGGAGGTTGGGGGCGGGGGGGGTGGTTGCAAACCAAAAGAAAGTGTGGCTGGGGCGGTGTGGGGCTGGGCAGGGGCAGGGGTGGGGAAGGGGAGGAGCAGGGCAGGGCAGGGGGGAAAGGGCGGCCACCAAAGGGCAGGGCAGGGGAGGGGGGCAGGGGGGTCCCAGGGTTCAAAGTTTCCGGCCCTGCTTTTGTGCTGCCTGCCCTTTGCTGGCTGCTGCAAAAAAGCTTAAAAGAAAAGAAGACTCTCTTCGGGGATACCAGGGGGTGTCCCCCTGGCGCGGTCCAGCAATATGCGAGTGCTGGCGGGGTCCAGGGCGAGGAGTCCTGGCGGGGGGTCTGGGGGGCAGCACCCCCAGCATCACGGTGGTGAATATTTGCGATTTTTAAAGAGTTTAGGGGCACGGGTGGGGTGGGTGGTAGTAGGGGGGGGGTGGGGGGGTGATCCGTGGGCCCCATCCACAGAACCCCAAGATTTCAATTATTTAAATAATTGAAATAATTGAAATAATTGAAATGGGTGCGATTTCAATTATTTCAATTCTTTGGGCCCTTTGGCGGATTTAAATAATTGAAATAATTGAAATCGGTCGGATTTCAATTATTTCAATTATTTCAATAATTCAAATCGGTGGGATTCGTGGCTTGGCCCAGAACAACCATCGATTTCAATTATTTCAATTATTTAAATTCGCCGGGCTCTTTTGCGGATTTAAATAATTGAAATAATTGAAATCAATTCTGCTGATTTAAATTATTTCAATCATTTCAATTATTTAAAATAATATTAGTCATACAGAAAAGAATAGAGCGTAAAATAGACCCTAGAGGCGCCTCTCATATATATATATATATATATATGTATATATATATATATGTATATATATATATATGTATATATATATATACATGTTTATGTAAATGTAGATATAGAAACAAACATGCAAGTATGTACATATACATACTTATTTATATATGTGCTTATTTACTTGCTTGTGTTTGGTTTATTGGTTTTCGTGCCTGCGCACCTTCTTGTCTATGGACATGCTGCAAATTATATGCAATGCATTTTCTGTCGAGTCGGTTTATCTGTTAGTCACAGAACTTGGCTGCCTTAACCTGAGCCCCGTGCCAAAGCACCAAAGGCTGTCGCCAGGGGAAACGTTTGCAGTGTCTGCGGCAGACTCCTGGCCGAATGCGAAAGCTTGAAGTTTGGAGGGTGCGTGCAAAAATTCTGGCTTCATCCGGAGTCTTCAATTGCGAATGCATGTGTGACCTTCGATTCTGCTGATGCATGGGCAAAGTGGGGTCTGTTTGCCAGGTCTCGAAAGGTGCTACAACAGCTGCTGCCCTCTTTGTGAGCAGAACTCGAACCTGAATCACAAGCCGAAGACTAGACCCCAACACCGAAAGCCCAAATAGCCCACGAGCCGGGTGCACAGGAAGCTCATCGAGTCCCCGAAGCGGCCGACGAAGTTTGACCAGATGTTTCTCGGAAAACGGCTTGGGGATCGGTTTTTGAACTGCCTTTGGTCCGGTTCTGGGCTAGGCAGGAGGGACTGGGCTTTAACATCTTGACTTCCAAGACGGGCGGAGCATAAGAAGTTTCCGAGTGGAGGCAATTAAACTTCTTGGTGGTCAAGGCTGATTTTCCGATAGCAACAGTACGTCAGTAGACAGTGGCACGTCATAGCCGCTATCAAGACAGACATCATCGTCATCATCATCATCACCCCCACTCACGACGCGCAGAAGCAGCACCACCACCTCTTCCTCCTGCTCATCAACACATCCATCTTCATCGCCGAAATCATCATAGGCATCATCATCATGGGCCATCATCATGATGCCCATCTTCACGAAAATCTAGATCATGATCATCATGATTCTCATCAGCACCTTCACAACCATCATCAGCAACAGCATCATGGCAGTATCACTGGATACAGTACTGCCATCAAGATGGAGAGTCCTGCAATTCCGTTGTGGACTCCGTGAACCTCTGGTGACTGTACTTGGTTTCAACAGTGTAAGACGTTGAAGCAGCTAATAATCTTCACTCAAAGAGGTGGGTTCGGAGCTGCAGTTACGACACGCGGAGCCAGAGTTTATAAGAAGCGCTGCAGTCACTGCAGTCTTCTGCTCCGAAACTTCAAGGCGTCATCCCGAAGCCTGCCGACAGTAAGAAACCCCCTCAAGCCTGAGCCTGGCACCAGAAAAAGTTGTCTACCATCCGAGGAAGAGCCGGCTGCGGGCTGCGCGGCTCTTTCGCGATGTCGGAGCTCCAGCGCCGCATCGGATGGGAAGCTGGGTACTTGAGGATGAAGCCCTGGCTGGCGTCGCATCTCTCAGGTTGTCAAGCTCACGGGTGATGTTGGTGGGCCCGACAGAGTGACTTCATGCCGTTCGGCACGGATACGGCCGGCTGCTGAAAAAGATATGGCCGAACGGAACAAGGCATGATGGCATGATGTCTCAGAAAAGCCCCGGAGCAGAATTGCATGATACCTGCAGAGTTCAAATCTTGAGCATGAGTTGTTAGCTTCAAGGCCCCAGAAGCGACAATGGCAATTGGCACTCCTGTGAACAACAGGACTCTCCACAACCTGGGCCCTAAGATGCCCTCCAGCAACCAAGCCAAACCAAGCTCCACCCCATCACGTCGCCCTCGCCACCCTCGCTGTCCACTGGAGGATCTTGTCCGGACCGCCCGGATGGTTGGACACCCAGTCGCTGAAGTCGTACACATTGTGCTCCTGCTCTGCTTGAGGCAAAAGGAAGACAGCTCGTCTCGAAGCTCTCCCTGTGAGCCCTTCACTCTGTCCGTCTCCTAAACCTCCATCCTCAACCCTGAACTCCCGAAACTGAAACCCTAAACGCCTGAGATTAAATACCCTAGCCGACTCCCATGAACCCTTCAACCACAACATCGGGTCCTAAGGCCCTACACTGTCCTACACCCTCCAAGGCAGACCCCAATTCCTCTCGGACTCGTAGATCAATCCTGAGGATGCACGTTCTGAAAGAACTTGCCGTCGACTTCGACGATGGAGTTCTTGCAGCAGTCACTTGCGGTTTGGGCTTAGATAGCCTCCAAGACGAGAGAGAGTGTGGGATTTCTGCTTTCCGGGCTAACTGCCAGGAGTTTACGATTTCGATCTCGGCCTGCACTTCTGATTTCGAAGCGACGAGATGTAGTCGCGGGAAGACTTGGCCCATTCAGGATCCGTTCCCTGAGAGCTACTAACAGCTACTATCCTATCCCCGTACACTCAAGACACGAGCTGAGAAAATGTAATTAGGCGCACTCTGGATGCCGCGTCGGGCTACTCGGATGACTTTGCCACTGAACTCGAAGCCCCGCATAATCATGGACTTCGGGTTCGGCATGGTTCGGCCAACGGTGGCCTCTGGAACGCTGCTGCATCCCACATTGATGTCCCGGAGCCAGCCTGGCACTCGATGAGTTGGGAAGCGAACAGCCAAACTAAGCGCTGAGTGAGGGGACTTCGGCATCAGGACTATCCAGTGAACATCTGACGACCGCTGGAGGCCCAGAATTTGACCCCTCAGCCACTCGCCCTTGCCGGAGCTCTGATTATGAGCTCCACAGGCGAGCCGAGACGGAATTCTCACGATTTGTATCAGCACGAGCGACAACAAGACAACACCGACGACAGTGACCACAACGACCAAAGAGATCAGGATGACCATGAGCAGAACCGCGACGAAAACGAGGAGCAGGAGGAGCACAAGGAGCAGGAGGAGCAGGAGGAGCAGGAGGAGCAGGAGGAGGAGGAGGAGAAGGAGGAGCGCGACGACGCCAACGACGACGAGACGACGATGACAATGGGTAGCACCACTTGCTGTTTCATGAACTCTTTCCGCACCTGCTTCCTCTGCCAGGGCAGATCTGATAAGGGCGGTGTCGCTGTCGGTCAGTGCCGAAGCAGTGCAGTCCATGGCCCCGCAATCGAGCTGCTTCCATCTTGGCAACAACTCAGAGCTCTTGTAACAAAGACCCCAACTGCCCCCCACCAACAAACTGGACATCCAAGCAAAGGCCCACAGCATCCAGTATACTCTCAACAAACCTTGCGAACAGCATACAACTTTGCAATAAGCCCTGCCACCGAGAGAGCTGGTTGCAGGGAGATTCCACAGCCAGCAGGTCTGTCAGAGCATATACCTTGGGGTTTCGTGCTCCCGACTCTGGGACGCACGATATGGAGCTTTCAAACTTAATGCACGTAGCAGTACGGTAATCGCATTTAGAACAAGGCTTCATGCGTCGCTGGCTGCAGTAACGCAAAGTTTGGGGCATTTGGGATGAAGTTTCAGGCTTGGGGCTAGACCCATGTAGAGGCTGACTGTTGAACCCAGGCTGATGCTTCCGAAAGGGGATGGGGCCAGGAGTGGTGGAGCCTTGGGCCTACGCGGCTGCTAGGCGCCTGGCCACCCATCCTTTTGTGTGGCGGAGTTTATGCTTGAATGGAGGCCTGAGTGAGACCTCGCTGCAAAGAAACGCAGTCAGAGCTCGAAGCGGATCTGCTACGTGCATTGCAGCTGATCCTGTACAGCACGGCCATCACCGCCATGCAGAGCATAGCCCCAGGTCACAACAGATCCATTGGCAAGAATGGCGGCAAAAGCCCTCTCAAGCGCTTGGACCTGCTGAACGCTCTTCAGCTGATCCTGGACAGCTGCGCTATAACCACCACAGTGAGCGTCGCCCCAGGTCACGACGGATCTGTCCTGAAGAATGGCCGCAAAAGCTCGCTGGGAGGCTTGGATCTGCTGCACATCCTTCAGGCGATCCTGCACTTCACTACTGTCGCCGCCATAGTCAGAATCACCCCAGGTCACGACAGATCCATTGTCAAGAATGGCTGCAAAAGCCCGTTCAGAGGCTTGGACCTGCCGCACGTTTTTCAGCTGATCCCTCACAGCGCTGCTGTCACCACCTGATCTAGCATCTCCCCAAGTCACGGCAGATCCATCACGAAGAATGGCAGCAAAAGCAAAGGTAGACGCCTGGATCTGCTCCACATTGTTCAGCTGATCCTGAACAGCAATATTGTCACCACCATAGTCTGCATCGCCCCAAGCTACCACAGATCCGTCACCAAGAATAGCCGCGAATGCAGAGCAAGAGGCTTGGATTTGGTGCACACTCTTCAATTGATCCTGCACGGCGCCGCTGCAACCACCATAGCCAACATCGCCCCAAGTCACGACAGATCCATCGTCACGAATGGCAGCAAAAGCTCGCTCAGAGGCCTGGACTTGCTGCACATGTTTAAGCTGTTCCTGCACAGCGCTGCTGTCAACGTAGCCCCACGTCACGACGGATCGATCGTGAAGTATTGCAGCGAAAGCAAAGTGAGAGGCTTGGATCTGCTGCACATTTTTCAGGCGATCTTGTACAGCACTACTGTCGCCACCATACTGAGCATCACCCCAGGTTACGACAGATCCATTGTCAAGAATGGCGGCAAAAGCCCGTTCAGAGGCTTGGACCTGCCGCACGTTTTTTCAGCTGACCCTGCACGGCGCTGCTGTCACCACCCGGTCTAGCAGAACCCCACGTTACGACGGATCCATCGCCAAGAATGGCAGCAAAGGCTCGCTCAGAGGCTTGGACTTGCTGCACGTTTTTTAAATGATCCTGCACAGCACGGCTGTCACCACCGGATCTAGCATCTCCCCAGGTGACGACCGATCCATCGCCAAGAATGACAGCACAAGCCAATCTGGAGCTGTGTGCCAGGGTTGTGTTTATGTGCATTGTCAATATATCACCATCGCGCACCCTTGCTTCCTCCACTGATACAGAGCCATCCAATATGCACCCGGATGAATCCAGCAGCCGCCCTTTGAAGACTCCCAGCTCGGTCTGCGCACGAAGTTTCAATGCTTCCACCTTTTCATCCAAGCCTGCTTTCAATGTGACTTTCCTTCCGCTGAGAAGTCCGATTTCTGTGATAATTGACATGCACTCTGAAACCAATGCCAAGCTCGCTAGGCCATGAGTGCAACTCGACGGGGAGAACTTGAGGTTCTGTGGTCTGGGGTGGGCTCTTGACTTCGGGATCTGATGCCTTTACCATAGAGAAGACCTTTGCTTCTTGGAGTTTACAGGTACATGTAGGTTTCGGAGCTTGGGCATTCGGTTTCTCATGGTCACCAGCGGTGGTCGCAGCCAAAGCCGTTCAGCGTCCAAAGCGGTAGTCCATCGAAGAGCCGGAAGGCTTCAAACCTATGGTGAAGGCTCATTTGAATCCCGAACCACTGCACGCTCCACGCCCTCTGAACGCTGAGGTCGCTGGCCCCAACAACCATCCCGTCCCCGAAAATGCGACCCTGAAGCGTCACATGGAGCCATCCCCTATGCAAGCAGCAGGAGGGCCATCACGGACTGCTGAATCCTAGATATATCTGCCAGTGGCGACTGCCTTGAAGCAGCCAGAGCACAAGGCTAGATGCATTATCCACCCGAACACTCACTCCCCAAGAACTCCCTTGCTTCCGACATCCCGAGCCCAGCCCGTCGCCCTACTGAGCGAAGGGACATAGCGTCCTCCGGTCTGGAAGAACTTCTCCAGAGTACTCACCTAAGCAACTGATCGTGCTGGGTATCAACAATGCCGGATATGCGCAGAAATAACTGCAAGTGTGCAGGATGTCCCAAACCAGCGTCCCAGTGCTGAGGTGTGTTGAGGCGCCGAGGATTGAGGTGCAAGAGCAGCATGACAGGGAGGGGGTTAGGGCGGAGCCTGCGGCAAGGCGGCCTCGCCAAGTGGATCGAGGGCTATAAAATCATCAGGCCCTGAAGCACTCGTGAGCCAGGACGCGTTAAGGTCCACTTGCACACCACGCATCTCTAGCGGAGCACATCCGGGAAGCAGCCTGCAACTCGCCTTCCGTGGGGTCGGCGAAGGGGAGCAGATGAAGCAAGAGAGGACATCTAGAGTAGGATACAGCCGGGAGGTGCCACTTTACGAGTTGAAGAAGCCGCAGCTCGGCCTGGGATCTGGAACCTGGTGTTTGGATTCATTGGTTTGGCTCGACAATGACCAGCAAGCAGTTACCTCGCGGCTTCCAGCGCCAAAGTAATGGAATCCGAAGACCCCAAACACTCCCCGCCTCGTTCACGAAACTGCGGGGAACGGAGGGGCACTGCCTCATGTGTCTGGATAGGTTTGGCTCTTTTGGCAACGACTACCTCATCGAATGCCTACTCACTTGCACTGTATCGTGCTGAACCCTATCTCACAGTTCCCAGTGGCTGATACCTTCGTGGAACGTTGTGCTTATGCTAATTTGTTCTTGTCGGTGGTCTGCCGATGCATTGACTGCAGCTCAGTCTCAAAGCTTGAAGTCGCGAAACTTGCAAGCGGCTTCTTACAAACCCGGTCTGCTTCGTTGGATTACAGGATCCAGCTGAGCTTGCTAACCGATGTTGGAGCTCTGGGCGCAGGATGCCGCATGCCTCCCAAACCCTAGCCTTCGACTCCTCAGCCTGCATTTCAGCGTCACAACACATTCTGCAGTGCCGTGCGAAATCAAGTGCCAGACAGCAGCACGCCGCAACTGCAACATCTGCGTAACTTGGAACTCGCTCGAAGCTGCGAACGCAAAGTCCATCTGGGCTCCCGAGATCCTTCAACTTTGGGCTCTCAGCATTCTCATCGGTTATGCCGAAAGCCCAGCGGCCCGCCCAACCAGTTCTCTGAAGTGGCCGGGGCCTGGACAAGCAGAGCATCGGCTTCAAGGCATCAGGGCTTTGGGGGTCCGAGACTTCGATGTAGGAAGCTCCGTGAGGGAGGAATTTTCGGTCTGTGGGTTGCGGGTGTGTCGATCCTACAGGGTCCTACAGCGTCCTACAGCGTGGCGCTCCGGTGTTCATCGGGAATCGGGAAACGTGCCTTCTGCCGTGAATCGGACATTGGACCTTGGGCATGACTACCTCTGCGTGTATCACAAGGCACATGTCTTAAGTGTCCTGGTTGGGTTACCAGTCCCTGCACTAGGTATGCTGCCTTCTGGAACACTACATTCCAAAGGCCTCCAAGGTGTTCTCGACAAGCGCCACGCGTGGCTCGTGGAGGTAGAGAGTGCCTGCGCTCTCTGCCTCCAGCTGTCGGACTCGAGGTCTCTCGAGTTTCGTGGAATCCGGGAAACGTTCATTCTTTTAGGCCGGAGCTCAGGACTGCGAAATCAGGTTGAGCTTTCTGCTGGGCAGGGACGGAACACCGTTGCGCCCAGGTGCATCGGACTCGATGACATCTGTCAGGTCGCAGTCGGCTGGCACTTCCTCGAGGGTCAACCCTAAATCCAGGCTTTGGTTGACATCGAACCCGTCTGGACTTTCAGAAACGTGATCTCGGGCTGGAGCACGGTTGAGGTTGGAGGGTTTCTTTGGGTGCAGGAGTTCAACGCTATGCCAAACACAACATCAGCTTCTTCACCGACCTACCAATGCTTCTCGCCCACTCCGCCTTCAGCACCAGCGTGCCAGGTGTCTTGACCTGCCATGAGTTCGCCAGCTCTCTGAGGGCCCTGAGTTTAAGAGTGGAGAATCGGTATTCCCTAAATGATACTGTAAGCGCAAGTCGAGTAACAGGTCTACCCGAAGGTTGACGGCCTGCTTTTCTGAAGAAACTATGGGTGCTCTTGAACGACTCAAGCAAGGTAGGGCTTCGGCTTGAAGTCCGGAAGCCAAAAGCGCAAGCTGGAAAGCCACAAGACATGACGTACCCACAACCCCGGAGCCTCTGCTCCAAACCGTAAGCCCTGACAGCCCTTGATGCCCTTACTGTATTCCACAACTTCCCCCCAGCACCAGAACATGAGTCGAAACACTTACTGTTCATGCTGTGGAACCCTCACAAGCCCTGGCCTCGAAGACGACTCCTCTCCCTCCCGTTTGGGTGGGCGTGATGGACCACGGCAGAGGGGCC